CTGTCGTAATCACTCTGCTGCAACAAGGATCCTGGTAAAAAGCGGTGATCAAGAGCATTTAACAAAGAGCTCGAATTACTGGAGTTGTCATTTAGGAAGTGAAAACGTTGTAGACGACTGACAATTGCTTCACAAATAGGATTTCTAGCTGCCACTTGCTTGATCGGAGTTTGCTAAAATGAATCCAAGGGAAGAGTGCAGTAGGCTTGTGAGCCCGACTTCCAACTAAACATAGCAATCATAGCAACCATAGGAGCCATAATAATAATCATAGCAGCCGTATCCCAGAACTTAAGCGATGCATTTTCTTCCATCAGAAGAATTTTTCCATTTTTGATGAAAAATTTCTGCATGTAATGGGAAATTTGTTTCATCGCTTACGCTATAGTGATAACTCTACAAAAAGGTAATAAGAGCAATAAAAAAAAGCATGGAAAGACTCATAGACCTCAGGCGTTCGTGGCTAGTGTGATGAACTTACCAAAAAAAAAAAAAAAAAAAAAAAAAAAAAAAAAAGCATTTTTAAAAATAATAAAAATATTAACAGGTATGGCGAAATTACATGTATGCCATTTGCGTACTAAAAAAAAATCTTTTTGAAAGATAATGAAAACAGCTACTTTAAAATAATATCACTATTTTAAAACAAATCATAAACATTTTCTGCAATAAAAAAATAAAAAAGTAGGGAATTTCTGATTTTCCTGTTTTAAATTTAAAAAAAAGCTTGTTTCTCAATTTCTCTGGTTTGAATTAATAGACGAATCTACCAAGTAGCAATCTCTTCTTTTAACTAAAACTGTAAAATCATTATCCGGTAAACTCGTTTATTTATTTAAAACAGAAAAATTGAAAAACTGACTTTTTTAATTATTTTGAACAAAAAATTAGAAATTTCTTACTTTTCTTTATTTTTTTGTCATTACAAAAAAAAAAAAAAAAAAAAAAAAAAAAAAAAAAAAAAAAAAATTGTTTTACTTCAAAGTAGTGATTTCTATTTTTCTCTAAAAAATATTTTCTGAGTACACAAGTGGCATACTTGTAAGTCGGCATAAATGTCAGTGAAGTTTGAAAACGTATATGTATTTTTTTTGTGAAGCCATTACATCCATAATAGATTAAGTCATCAACACATTTCAGAAGGGTTTCATTCAAGGACGTTTTATTGATGAAAATGAGACGTAGGTCTATTTGACTCTACAACAAACAAGGCTTAAACGACATCAAAGTGTAGATTTGCTTCTCGACCAGGAGAAAGCCTATGATTAGTTTTTATTTGCTTATTTTCAACAGGCTTTCTTAGTAATAGGCTTTCCTACTTTATTTACACGCAGTATTCACAATCTATTCTTTGGCAACTCAGCAGCAATTAATGTCAACGGATGCCTTACTGATTCAGTACATCGGCAATGAAGATTAAAGCAAGGTAATCCTCTATCTCCGTTGTTGTTTAATATAGCGTTGGAGCTATTGATTCTATGAGTTCAGCAAGACAATATTTACCAAGTATATATATCGACAGTGGGCTGCACTACTCAACATAGCAAGTAAATTATATATGCTAATGTTATTTGTGTATTTCCAAGGATGAAGCTGACTTCATGCGTCTTCGACATCCCTTAGAGAATTGTATTATGTTATTGAATGCAAAATTCCACAAATACAAGATAGAAGCCTTCTCAGTAAAATGAAGTCGAAATCTTGGGGATCATTGTTCTTGAATCATTAATAGAGACATACTATCACCGTCACTGCTCTTCTGCTCTTTTGCTCTTTTGCTTCCCGGTATCTTGGCTTTTATATGCTATATACGAATTCTCAAAGGGATTTTGTTCAAGATATGCTATTGGAAAGTGCACACACAAGTTCATGACTACTCTCAACGTTACCTATCACCCCGAGGTGGAGCGACTGTAGCTAATATTTTGCATTCACTAAGCAATTTCTGAATAAATTACATTCAGTTGTCTACTCTTATGTGTGTCAGAAGAAGTATTTTTATGTTTCCTTTGACTAATTATGTCTCTCGAAGGATCAAAGTGGATTAGAAGCTCTCAACATTATCAAACAATACTTGGTGTTGCAGATGAGATAGATTCTTACTCTGTTTAGTTCGTCCAGTTAGCCTAACCAGCTTCAAGTGTTTCTGACAGAACTCTTTGTGATCATGCATTCAGATACAAACAATCTACTACTACCTTTCTTCTCTAGAACCCTTCGCCGTCATGACCTTTGCCATCCCACTTCAGTCATCAATAGTATCTACGCTGCCTTTGATCACTTTGATATTGATTCCAAGCTTGATAGTGTGCCTCTTACCAACTTGCTTTACTTTCCGCTAATTAACATGTCTCAGGGGTACCTCAAAGTTACTGGATTCATCGACATCTAAAAGCACCAGCCTCTCTCTCTTCTTTCTTTTTAACAAACAAAGTAACCGGTTACGTCTAAAGGTCCGTCATGAATATGGGCAATTACCAGGATTGTGCTATCAGCTCTTTATAGACGTTTTTTGCAGGCAAACAGTAAAACCTCAACTTTTCTTGTGGCAGTATATCACGCAAAATGTGATAACATCTACTTCCTCTGCCTATAATGCTTTGACCAAGCAATTTCGGTGATCTTTTTGTTTTGGAGAACTCCCATGCTCCCTTAGGCTAGAAAATTGTGGTATCGTGTGCTTCACAAAAAATTACCCACTGCCGCAGAGCTCTTCAAGGTTGATACAGCCTCTACTCCTATTTATCGCTTGTGCAAACCATAATCGGAATCCCATGACCATTTCATAGCCCATTGTTTTTATCAAGTGGAGTGCTTGGGCAGAAATACTCAACTACTACTATCTTTTGGTACATTTCACCCCTTCCTCCCTCCACAAAATCATCACTCGTTAAGCCTTATCACCTGCCATTACAAACCGTTTCAAGATTATATCCATCGTTGCCATAATTCAGTACGATGTCTAATCCAGTCTTTCCACGTCCCATCACTCTGCAATGTGTAACTGAACGACAATTCTGTATATCTAAATAAAGCTCAACTACAAAAAAAAAAAGATTCCAAGCTACGGCCATATAACATAGAAAGCACTAGATCCCGTCCAATCTGCACAATTAATCTATGCCTGGGGCAGTCAGTACTATAACCCCTTCAGTCTTAACTATCACACATTTTAACATTTTTAGGACTTTGAATACAACAGGGCTACACCTCCCCTATGAGAAAGCCCTTTGTACATCTACCCTCACATTAACATCAGAAAATGCCTATATTTCCATTTTCTCTAATTTTTGGCACTCAAAATAGTATATCTTGCTTTGATAGTGCTCATTGTTAATACATTTTATATGTCATCTAGTGCGAAAATGCTCAAAACACGGCTTAAATAAGCCAATCTTTGATCCGTCATTACTCGACAGACTGTCAAAACATCCTACTTTTTTTTTGCTCAAAAATGTTCTTTCAATTCCAGGAACAGAAAGACATTACTGGTTTGACTGTTGGATGAAATTAGTTTTTTTGGCTAATGGGGGATTCACGAAAAATTTCTGAATGTAGATTTTACCCAACCGAGATGGGATAAAGCCATATTCAGATACATCAAACAAAAAGAAAGCGAGTTTACCAAGACAAAAAAGGCGAGTCAACTTGAGAATTGTCTTTGAATTTGCATTCAAAGTTCGTTGTACACTATAATTGGCACAAAAGAAACCCTTTTCAGCAGATATCAACTAGTAGATGGGCATTTACTTCTGTAGCATTTGATACATGAGATAGTCAAGAGTAAGATATAACATAATAGATGACACTTCTAAGCATAACGAAAGCAAGTTTTGTCACACTTTATTGGCGCTATAGCTTTATTTTCTGTTGATGTATCTAAGTTGTAGCGGTCCCTCTTTACTCTATTTTTATGTTATTCAATTGGACTGCCAGCATCTTTGAAGATGCACCTTAACTTGGTAACAATAAGTCGTACTTGGTTTAAAAAAGAGGAATATTTAAAGGTGTTCTGTGCTGCCTTCTGAGACAACATTTGGTTAAAGCGTTCATTGATCATTTGGTCGCATTAACTTACATTGGATGGTTTCACTTTGAGCCTTGGGATTTAATCTCACAAAACAGTAAGTGGTCATTACTCATCACTCATTGGCCTGAAGGAAATGATGGCTCCACCTAAAAAGAAAAAAGCTAGTTTTTTTTTCTATTTTGGATATCTTAAAGACTATTGCTAGAAACTAGCACAAAAGAGGGTAGAATGTGACGAATTACTTATTTGATGCATAAATCGGGAGTATTATGCTAACGCAACCCATTTACTTGGCTTACAGAGAAAGGAATTAAAGCACATAGCCTCATCCAAAAGTAATTGCATTTCTAGTCATCGATCACATCTTGCTTAAAAAGCAAAATGAAAAAACAATCCCTTTTTCAATCTAAAAAATCAGTACAGAATATTCCAACCTATTTATACAAAAAGACTCATCGTTTGCAAGTAACGAATCAGAGCAAAATTGGTCATTAACTATTTTACATCTTCCTGGACTTGAAAAGTCAATAAAAGCATAATAATTCTAAATACCTATAAACAGTTTCCAGTGGCATATATAATGGTTTTATAGTAAAAAAAAAAAAAAAAAAAAAAAAAAAAAAAAAAAAAAAAAAAAAAAAAAAAAAAAAAAAAAAAAAACGACATGTCAGAAATGGGCGAAAGCTGCTTTCAAGAATGGGTAATTACTCAAATAAGCGGTTTCATTCTTCCAAATTTTGCGCTTCATTTTGACTTTGCGAGACAAAGAATGTAGCTATCAACATGGCTAAATACCTAGAACGTATTCTAAAAAAAAGGTCATTTCTTGACCCTTGGAAGGTTCCTGGAGAAGAAATAAAAAAAAAAGTTGGAATTTCACAATGGGACATGCAGGCAAGCAAAAATAAATCGAAAACGAAGTTAGCATAACGTCATATAAAATACAACAAGAAGCTTCTTCTTTTTTTTTCCCCTAATGAACCAACAATTGATTTTACATGGAAAAAGCTTCGTTCTACAAAGTTAGAGCATGAATAGCATGTAAAGCCACTAACTTAGTGACTGTTTTTAAATTTATGCTTTTGATCCAACGACTATTTTTTCTGATGGATACTGTTGCATGTTTTCTTTCTTATACCTGCGATCTATCCTAAAGAAGCCACACTTTTTATATTCAGGTACAAGACAACACCAAATACGAGGCATGAAAGCGTACATTCAGGTTGTTGGACAAAATTCGCCAGAAGGGCCCCTAGTTTGATCGTCCATTACGATTCACAGCGCTATTTATTCAATTGTCGAGAAGGTACTCAGCGGTTGTGTGTACAAGAAAAAGTAAGATTGTCCAAGTTAAGCAATGTGTTCCTTTCAAGAGTTGATTGGGATTGCATGGGCGGATTAACAGGCATGTAGAAGGGCAATAAAAAAAAAGCTTTATGAACTCATGTGTTGTATAGGTATGCTTTTGACTTTAACCGATGCTGGTGTAAAAAATATTGATATTCATGGTGCAAAGAACTTATCACACTTTGTTGCTGCAACAAGACATTTTGTTTACAGGCAAGTCACACAGGGTATGATTTATGCATACTTACCGTATTGCTTAGAACCAATGCCACTGTCAATGTGCATGAGTATAGTGAAGAATCACTACCTTATAGTGATAAGAATCTGTCCGTGACACCTGTGATAGTTGTGCCCAACAAGGCCAAAAAGAGAAGCTTTGATCAATTTAGTAGTAGCAGTAATAGTGATCAAGAAGAAAGTAGTAGTAGTAGTAGTGAAACATCAGATAGCGAACATCGGTTACAAAAACGAGCATCCATATCACCTTCCGAAGCAGATACATATAGAAAAAAGGTGATTTCACTCATGTTTACAGACTCAAACAAAGGAGAGAAAGCACCTGGACATACGATCGAAGCTGAATGCTCACCTAGAACGAAAGCAGTACATCCATTAGCAAAAGCAGAAAATCAAAGGGACCATTTGATGCAGTCATTACCACCTACTCGGCCTTATCCAGCTGCTACAACGTATATTTGTCAAGGTACTACTTTGCCTGGTAAATTCAATAAAGCAGCAGCACTAGCATTAGGCATTAAGCCCGGTCCTCTGTATGGTAAACTGCAAAAGGGGATGTCAATCACGCTAGAAGATGGTCGAGTTGTTACTCGAGATATGGTCTGTGATCCTGAAGTGCCCGGTCATGTATTCATTGTGGTTGATTGTCCTAGTGTAGCCTATATTGATGGCTTGGTTCATTCAAACAAATTCAAAGACTTCCAAACTGAAGGAAAGTACAAGACACACGTCATGATCCATTATGTAGGCCAAGGTGTTCTTGAAGATGATCGCTATAAGGTTTGGTTGAATTCATTTGATTCAACTACCGACGTAAGTAGCCAAAACGTGACAACACGCGTTATTCACAAGATATATCTAGCATATTTTTGGGTCTACAGAACTCTGTGCACAAACAGTCCAGTTTACATCACATGCTATAGGCCAAGTAAAGTTGTCTATGCTCAACCCTGATATTTTCCCTATCCCCAAGTATAACAATGTCCCTCAAATATCACTATCTGAAGGTGAGCATAAGTATATATATGGGTATATTGGGTATATTGGGTGTATTAATTTGTTATTTTAGTCAAAGGTTTACCTATAAATAGTTTTCGATTAGAGAGCATGGCCCAATATAACTTGGAACCTAGAAATGGAATCGAATATATGGACCGACCTGCCTTTAATCACACCGATTTAAACTTGCCTGCTATCAAAGAAATAGACCAAAACAAAGAATATCACGAGGCAGTCAAAATGGCCAAAGCAGAAGCTGCTCAGGTCGATATCAGCGAAAAGTTCCCTGGCGATGACGTCGAGATCATCACTTTAGGCACAGGAAGTTCGATTCCTGCCAAATATAGAAACGGTAAGCCAATCATTATCATATGAAAATTAATAGTGGTAAAAAAAATAGTGAGTGCTACATTGGTAAAGATTCCAGAATATGGGTCTATTATGCTAGATGCAGGTGAAGGTACCTATGGGCAAATGATGCGTAGATTCGGTATAGACAGATTGGAACAAGAAATCAAAGACTTGAGTTGTATCTTTATTTCTCATTTACATGCTGATCATCATTTGGGTGTTATTCAGTTAATCAATAAATGGCACAAGGTAAGACAGACTATTTAAGGCGGCATTTTGACAAATCAATATAGGCTACAAGAAATGAAAACAAGATATTGACTGTAGTGGGTCCATTTGTATATAAGCACTGGTTAAGTGAATATGGCGGTGTTGAATACCTGGGTTCAAAAAGAAAGCTAAAGTTTATCAGAAATGAGAACTTATTAAGCCGTAGAGAAGCAAGAGGAGAAGAACTCAAGAGGTAAAAAAAAAAATGGAATAAGTGATAATCAATACTCATACTTAAACTCTAGTTTAAATGAACTAAAAAAGACACTTGGACTTGCTTCCATAGAGCCAGTCGAAGTAGTTCATTGTAGATGGGCTTATGGCTTATCTATTCAGCACGAATCAGGCTGGAAATTAGTGTAAGCCTTAATTTGTTTATTGTTGTTATTGTTACTTATATTGTTTTTAAGTTATTCTGGTGACACTCGACCTTGTAATAGACTAGTTGAATCTGGTAAAGATGCTACTCTTTTGATTCATGAAGCAACCTTAGAAGATGGTGAATATCAAAAGGCTGTTGCTAAGCGACACAGTACAACAGGTGAAGCCATTGAAGTCGGTAAAAAGTAAAGTAGTGTAAGCTTGTGTAATCATCACTAACTGTTTAGAATGAATGCCCGATACACACTATTGAATCATTTCAGTCAACGGTATCCTAAGTTGCCTATTTTATCGGAAGAGCAATCCAATGTCTGCTTTAGTTTCGATATGATGTCCATACCCATCAAACAGTTACCATTGTTGCCTAAATACACAAGTGCTATTCAACTTGCATTTAAGGAAATGGAAGAAGAGAATGATATCAGTTGATTCTGAAAACGCCCATTATCTTTATTTTCAGTTGTGTAACCTAAAGAAATTTTTTTTGTTCTTGTATGATGAAACCTTTTTATCATGCACGTATACTTTGTAACTAAATAAAACTATCTCTCTTTGTTTCTTCCTTTTTCTTTTCTCTTTTCTTTTCTTTTGAAAATAAAAAATGGCTGACTCCTCTGTTCCTGTCATTGATACAGCTGCTACAAACAAGTTGGAAGAATCACCTATTCCTTCTGCTACTGCTCGTAAGTTATTCTTTTTCTTTTTTTGTGATAGGTAATAACGTAAAGTCATGTTTATCTTTTAGCTCCTACTGTCAATGAGACACTTGAAAGCTCTATTCCTGAATCCAAGCCCGAGAAACCTGCTACCACTCTTGATACCCCTCCACCTTCTGTAAAGCCTGTTACCGCACCAGCAACAACAACAACAGCATCAACAGCATCAAGCAAACCATTCAGTTATACTTCTCCTAACATTAAATTTGAAGATGGTAAGATTGTGTTTATATACATATGAGCGTGTCATCCATATATTCATTCCCCCTCCCCTTTTTTTTTAAAAAAAAAACGATCATTAGATCCTTCTACCTATTTAAAGACAAAGGTTGAATCCCTAATTTACTGGGAATACCCCAAGAAGAGTGCCACTGTCTTGGTTGGATTACTTGCTACTTTGGTATTAACACAATACTATTCCCTCTTGCAAATTGTTGCTGGTGTCTTTACCTTGGCTACTGGTCTCAACTGGGTATTTGTCAACACACACAAGCAAGGTCAACGATTTATTGGTGGCAAGTCACCCGAGAACATTGCTAATCCTCACAGGTAAGTTTATTTTTGTATGCCTATCAGTCTAATCATCATAATCTCTTAGTGAGCGTCTTCATAAGCAGGGAACTTATATTCCTCGTGATCGCGTCTTACGTACTGCACAACTGACGATTGATGTTGTTGAAGTGATTACACAACACATTACAAAATTGGTCTTGATTGAAGACAATTGGCGTTCAGCTGTTTCTTTGGTTGTCTCTTATTTGGTCTGGACCATTGCCAAGTTTGTCTCTACCAAGTATATTGTTGGCTTCTTTATTGTCTCTGCCTTTGCATTCCCTCGTCTTTACCTTCAACATCAAGATGTAATTGATGCTCATGTTGCTCAACAGTCCAAAAATGCCCGTGTCTTGGCTGAAAAGTACGGAGGTATTGCTAATGTCAAGGCTAGAGAATTAACAGAACAAGCCAAGTCCTTTTTATCCAAGAAGACAACCGCCTCTATTCCTCAAGAAGCCAAAAAGACTGAATAATTTATCCCTATCTGTTTCGATAATAAAGTGAATTTTATCTTGATATACATTCATGTGTATAGAAGGCTATACTAAAATTGTACTGAATATCGAGAGCTTTGTAGTGTTATACACTACAGATATGGTTATCATCTATTCAAACAGCTTACGTATGTGGTGCTTCTTTCCATAAGCTATTCTAATATTAGCCACTTTTATAGAACGTACGATACAGATGGAACATAATATCAAGTTTGATTGCATGTTCCTCATCTAATCTCAGTTGGTGAAGACAAGACAGAAGATAGGGTACACTATTCCCAAGGTGCGCTTTATTTTCATAATTATATGAACCTTGTATCTTTCTGAGCAAGTTGCTTTTCTTTTTTTTTTGTTATTCTTTAGGTGGGAAGTCTTTAGCCTATAAGGCGTTGGTACCAAGAGCGGGTGTGTACCCTATCTTCTGTCTCGTCTTCGCCAACTAAGGGATAGTTTTCGCTATCATATTGTGACAAATTCACGTCGACGAAAACCTTGACAGTAAAAGGGACAATATTAGAAGCAAAACGACCAATTGAAAGGCTGGAACAATTGATCGTTCCTATACACGCAACTTCGATAAAAACCGCTAATCTTGGCAGTGAAGGACAATTCCACAAAAGTTTAGATTGTATTCTTTTATGCTTCTTATTGGACATTATTAGTAGCATCATTAAATATTATTGGATTATATAAACGTTTCTTTTATTATATATATGCATGTATTACATAATATATTGTATACACTTCTATGAATCCAGTCATACACTACTATACTCATCACTAGAAGCATTCTTGAAAGGCGATCACAAAAGAGAGCAACAGAAAAAAAATATATACAATGCATACCAGCAACTCAACCTTGAAAACGGCATTCAGCAAGAGAAAATAGACCAGACCATTAAATAAGAACAGAGGCACAAGTATAGCTATAGCATAACATGAATTATTTGCACATAATTCATTTAGACATTACCTCTCATATCAATAAACCACACACTTGAATATCTGTAACACTCTTGTATAGATTGTTGGAGAAAGGATATCATGATCAACATCATCTCTTACTAAAAAAAAATACCACGTAGCACCCATATAGCCATACCATCCAGTGGTTCACCAAGAGTTGCTACCCATAGAGTCAGCTGTATATACTAGAAGAGATCCCTTTCTTTAAAATAAGCCTACACAAATGTATATGAGGATATGGACTAAATAACATATCAAGCCTTAACTTGAATATCAGAAAAAGATTACCAAGTCATAGTAGTAGACAAAAAAAAAAGAGAATCACCAAGTGGGAATGAAAGTAGTGGGCAACATCAAAGCTCAGTGACCATATAGAGACAAAGCCAGACAACAGATGAGCAAGAAACCAAGTCAGTTAGCGCCAAAAAATAAATAAAAACAAGGTTGCTCAAGAATTGAATATTCTGTTCATCCATGCTCGACATACGTAGTATATCATGACCTACTAGTTTTTGCTTATTTGAAATATTATTTCTTTCTTTAGATGACGCTATTCATCTTTGGTCTCTGAAGCTTTGCTCTTAGAAAATGCATGTACTGAAGGTGTATGTCGCCAAAACGCCTGTAAACATCCATATAATTGCCTTAGGCAATCTTTTTTTGGTGCTTGAAGGTGACAATAGAAAAAAAAAGACAGATAAAGGAAATGTCGTAGTTAGCTAATGTTTCATTTTACACAGACAATGATCAAAAAAACTGCTTGTGTTCTGAAAAAGATGAAAGAGAGTCATGAACAAAATGAGCTCAAGATGATGATGGGTGAAGAAACCTCACCAAGCCTCCTTCAGTTTGTGGACATCGACATTCAAAAGCCAGTGAAAGGTGCAGGCTACGGCATCTTGCTGCCTTAAGAAAAAGAAGAACAAGATATTGTTATTAAATATGTATAAATATATTTTTATCTTAGAAGCAAAAAAAGTGATAAAAAAAAAGAACTTTAATCAAAAAAAATTATATACTTTCCATGAGTAAGTTCTCAAAGCACAGTAGATTAGCACTATAAACCATGCTGAGTAAAAGCTTAGGCTAACAATATAATCGTCTTGTGCATTATTTTCTTATTGCCAGAAAGAGCATTGTAAAACAAAATAAAAAAAGTTGACATGTTTCAAAGCTTGGCGTAAGTGAAGTGTCCCTTAAAGACATTATGACTCTAAATTAGATTCGCATGTCAAAAACCAAAACCAGAAAAATGAACACCTTTCTTTTGTCTAAAGGATTTTTTAGTACGTTGGTCTGGTCACTTTTGGTGGTGCTCCGGATTTTGCTATAATCCCTTGTGGAAGGCTGTATCTCTTAGGTATCAACAATTTTGTCAAGTGCCAAGTAATTGAAATGGTGTCCTTTACTTGTGGTATTGGCACTGCCATTTGTAGCATTGAACAAGACAAGATATAAAGAACATTAACTTTAAGGAGCAACGAATGAAACACTCAATATATCCTTTTAGGACATATTAATGGGTAGCCCAGATGACGGCTATTTTATTGGGATTATATAAGACTCATGTTATCGTACTTAATACTTCCACAAAAGCATTGTTTTAAAGGTATTTTATATAGCTATTCACTTTGCTTCACACACACTAGTTTCCATTTATACGATGATTTTATTTTTTAAAATAAAACTTTCATCCAATACAAAATATATATATATATGTTATGTCCTAGCCTTTTTTGCTTGGTTTAAACACCCTGTGTCTCAAGTAACAGCAGGTATTTGTGTTTGTAAGTCATGCTTATGATGTATAGACTATATTTGTTTATGTTTGTGAATGATAATTAACACTGAATTCAGGTTTCAACTTTGAGAGGAAGTGATAGGCTCGATAAAGCAGTAGACAGTGTCTCCCACAAACCTGATTGGTTACTAAAAAAAGTTGTCGCCTAAATAACAAAACCTGCTTTTTCTTTTACTCTTGTGTTTGCGTGTATTACGAAGGAAAGTATATTAGATATCGTTATGGGATGAACACGGCCGATAAAAAGGATAACCACTGGCTCCGCCTGCTGAAGGACTTTGAAAAGCAGAGCCCTTGCCTATTCAGCAATTGTCACTAGACTTGAGGGCTATCCTTGCCTCGACAAAAAGCATCCGGTCGCGTGGTGGCACATATGTGTCGTTGCCTTCCCCTTTGCTGTCAGACACGATTGACTTGGCCACCTACATTTATTTTTTTATCTTTTATATTTTCTTGGAGCCTTAAGTTCTAACTCTTATTTTGTTAGGTTATCTGCGAGTGATATGCTTTGGTATTCTTGTGTTGTAAAATATAATTACACTTAATAGAGAGAATAAACCGTATTTTTGTTTTAATTTTGTATAAAGTTGATAGTTTATTTGGTTTACCTCAATAACCTGTTGGTAACTTCTTTAGTTGACAATTTACTTTCATCAAAACTGTCTCAATGTCTTTCAACAAGTAAATGAGCAACAATTCTTGCTTGCCCTTTTTATTGAACAACATAAAAAATTAAAGCAGCTCTGAATCACTAAAACCCACGCTTGTTTTTTTTTTGAAGCACTTGGAATACTTTCTCTCTTGAAGATGACTTCAGTGATTTTGTCATGTTCAAAGCAAGTAATACTAGAACATGATGAGCAACGCATCTTTACTTTTATGTAACACCTAAAATAAAAAATGAAAGACGTCTATGTATTTCAATCAACACAGTTGCATGATATTGGTTAATCAGGACGTGAGTTATTTAGCTAACAAGGAAACACACTGTAAAGAATCCCAAAATAGTAACTCATTAGCTTGTGAGAACAAACAAATGTATCAATCCAGTCAATTGTGTAATATAAATATCGTTTCATAATACAAAAGCATTACAATATCAATACGCAAACATCTCATGACACTAAATAATTCATGCTTTGCCAGATTTGACCATAAAAAACTATACAAAAAATATTTGATTGAAGGTAGGTTAAAAAAAAAAAAAAAAAAAAGAGAGAGAGAGAGAGAGAGAGAGAGAGAGAGAGAGAGAGAGAGAGAGAGAGAGAGACGCTAAAAGGGAGAGAAGAAGCTTATGAAATAAAGAACTTTTGCCAGACTCATTGAGGAAGGAATAAGCGCAAATGACACTCTTTTTCCAAGGTTTGTGTTTAGTGCTGTTAGCTAACAGTAGACCTGTTAATTGATAGGACCTTATGTAATTTTACACAAATATTTTCATAACAAGAAATTTTGATCGTCTTCAATTACGAGCTCTTCTCTTTTCATCTTATACTTTGATAACCCATTATGTCTAAACAATCAATGTCAAATTTTTTTATATAGACAATTCTGTTGATGATTGGGACTTCGATAAGTTTTATGCCTTTCTTTTAGCCAAAAATCATAAGGTTTCCATATCGGAAGCTATTTTAAAATTTAAAAATGATTTAGAAAACATTTGTCAATCAGAATCCATGGATCGAACATCGCGTAGACGTGCTGGGCAACTAATTAGCAGTATGAAGGTATAGTCTTGTCTCTATCAATATACAATATAAACTAACCTATCGCAATTTTTAAATAAAGGCCAATAAGCGCAAAAATAATGATGCTCTGCCATCAACTGTGTTCAGCAACCAAGGCTCTGCGCTCAGCAATAGCGGTACCATCATTGTGAACGTTATTTCTGGAGCTAAAGAAGATGATATAAAAATGATTATACTATTTTACATAACAGGTCTAACCCTGAAAAAGTATATGAATCCAAAAGACAGAAGGTAATTTTTAAACGTTCATAGCTTTTTTTTCGGTATCTCATGAGTATTAGGTTGATCATGTGGAAGACGCTGACAGCAGGCAAGTTGAAAGTGAAGAAGATCTATGGGATGCTTGGCGTCAGTTTTTAAAATGCTGTTGTTGCCATGATTTTTGGTAAAAAAAAACTGTCAGATTATTATTTAACTTGATCTAATTAGTTACATTTATGAGCCCTGAGAAGTATCATGTGATTGAGTGTGGCTACTCCATCAAATGTAAGCCAAGTATCCCTCAACAACTCTATGATCACTTGGATACCGCAACTGTCACAATAAACAATCCTTTTAAGCAGCATCCAGAGTATAGTCTTGCTGTGCTTGAAGCACTAAAACCTTTGCCTGTAAGCATATTCAATCTCTTTTTACCTTTTTATTATTCTGACAGAACATTGTTTTTTTTAGAAAAATTGGAAAGCAGCAAGAAAAGCTGTTGTTAATCCTGAAGACAATGATGACGATGATGAAGGAGAAGAAAGCAAAGAATTTTTACAAGAATTATTTCTAATTATGCAAGTGTACAAGTTGTGTTTACTAAAAATATGCGTTTAGTATTATTTTGTTCAAGAAGAAGGATGTGGCTGCTGTATTAAAAGAATCTAAAGCCAGCTACAACTTGTTTGTCTTTTGGCCATTGATAAGTCTTGCTGCTGGGGAATATATTTTGAAAGCCTCAAAAGAAGAATATAGAGCAGATGCGTGTATTCTTGATGAGAATGATAGAGATTAGTCTTCTAGAGTCTTCTGGTTGCTATCTTTTTGGTAACAAATGCAAATATGACTATAATCATGTCAAGGGTGCATTTGGCGTATTAACTATGTTTAATGCTGCCTTTAAAAAATATCACAAAGCAGCATCCAAGGCCTAGACACTATTCCAAACAAACGAAAAGGTCAATACAACTGCATGAGCAAACATCAAAGTCTTGTCTAGACCATAAAGTCTATTTAATTATGCTAGGGACTGTCAGGGATAACTAAAAAGGATAACTCAAGATGAATTCACAAGTACCTCATTAGCATCATGAAAGGAATCTTGAGTAAAAAATAAAGGAAAAAAGTCTACGTAATTAAGTGCATCTTTATCTTATTAGATATACAAGATGACGTTCAATTATTAGTAACTAATAATCTTGGCTTTTTATTCAAAGTGCAACATTGATAGGAGTTCTTTTTCTTCTACGACCATGAGTCTGTGTAGCCTCCATTGGTGGTTGTGAAGCAGGCACAGAAAAAGAATTCGAACGAGAAGTATAACCGACATCGCCGGTGAAAAAAGGAGAAGAGACAACAGAAGAAGGCGGTAAGTAATTTAGTATATACGAGAAACTTTCAGCCATATAAAAAAAAGAATTAAAGTCGAATGTAAATAATAGAAGATTACTGCTTCATTGCTGAACTCATTCTGTTCAATAAATGCTTGCACAAGCTTGGTGATGTACAAATGAACCATTCGGCTAGGTATTCTTTTTTTTTTTCATCTAGGGCTAGTTAGATTGACAGCGAAATAATAAAAAAAAAAGACTTGGTAACTAAGATGCTCGCCAAAGCAAAGATGACTTGTACGGAATAAAGAAAGGATCAATCGGTACGCAATAAAATCAGGTTTCTTACGCACCACTCCCTTTTAAACATGTTCGCAGAGTATCGAATAAAGAGGGGATGGTTCATATAACTGTGTCTAGCGAAGGGGTAGCTCTAAAAAAAATACCAAATGCATAAATGTATTAATGACGAACACTCTGTTCACTCCAAAGAAAAGTATTTTGAGAATATAGCTGCTATTAGCTTTATAGTGTCTCTATTCTTTTTATGTTGTCTTATAATTTTCTTTTTTCACGCAAAGAATTCATTTATCTTTGATTTGATAAATAATAAAGAACCCTGTTTATTGTGTGAAATGTAGTCAATTGATAAAGCATCTTTTATAAATAAACTATTTTTTCTTTTTTTCTAAAATAACTACAATTATTTTCTCTTCATTAAGAAACTGTATATTTATACAAAAGTGGTTGCTTGTAGAGTGGATGGGAGTGTTTTCTAGCCACCCTCTCTCTACCCAGTACTCTGCGAGCATGTCCGATAGATGGTGGTCCCTAAGAAAAAAGGGTTGGTGCATAAGAAACCTGAAAAAACTATAATTTATTTTAGTCAGTGACTACAGTTGTCTGCTTTACTCCCAAGATTGGCGGAAAAAGCCGTCAAAAAATTCAACTTGGCCTTTGCATTGGTCATTTCTCTTACAGCCAAAAATTAATTGGCCCTTTACCTCTCAATCTTAGCAGTTAGGCCAGTATTATTAGTACTTTATGAACAAGATTACCTGTTCAGGCTAAGTTTTTCGCCAACGTGAAATATAAAATTTCAAGTTTGTAAACGAGAGTGCATCGGAATTGAAACCTACTTATCGCCTCTGCCCAGCTTACTTGACCAGTTTGAATACCAACGGCCAACAGCGAATTTACTAAACGATCTTAAAAAGGATTTTCGAATGACTTCAAAGCTACTTTAATCAGAGGCACAACTGTATGCTGTAGCATAAGTTGCCGATGATGATCAAGTTCTAATCCAGTTGACATGTGAAGTATATGCCAGATCAAAGTCAACTGATTGTTATGGTGAAACATCAACAAAGTCTTTGCCGCCTACTGATGATGCTATATTCATCAGTATATGTGAAGAATCTGACGGATGAAATACAAAAAAAAAAAAAAAAAAAAAAAAAAAAAAAAAAACTAAAAACTGGAAGCAGACATATGAACTTGTTAGTTACAATATCAATTTGCTTGGGAAAAAATAACCTCAGTATCAATATTGGACCGGAAACAAATGTCAGTGGTTTGGAAACAGAGGATTTATGCATTTATTGCCTTACTCAAAATATTTCCAAGTTTGAAAAAAGCTCTTCCACAAGGACTAAATTACAATCCGCCTGATAGCTTAAATACACTATGTCAACTTGTGTCTGGCTTTAATGGCCCTAGTACTTACCACCAGTATCGTGTCTCAGCTCAACAGCTTTTGTGTTTCTATGAAGCATTCTTACCATCAACAGTATTTACGCTGTGTGATCTTCCAAATAATGACAACTAGGTGTATCAAATACAGCGGCACCAAAAGTTGGTTCATGTTTCGTAAATATTATAGCAGCATCAGGACGGGAACACATATTTATTACTCCTTCGTCCTTCTTTACATGTTACTAAGTAAGCATGATACCATAGTCAAAAAAGAAAGGAAAAAAGCTGAACTAGACAGAACCAATCGTATAGACTCAAAATTCATTATTGTTATTATAGAAACCAGTTCCAATATAAAGGGTTAACAATATCGTTTAATAGAAACGTACAGATTAAAAAGACCATAGTATGTGTTGAAATACCTATATTACATTTTGCATAAGCGGCTCTTTACTTGAGGGCTCATAGGAAGTTACTTTTCTATCACATTAGCTTATAACACTGCTGTAAACAGGACATGCTTATGCTTTGAGCGCCATGGACATAATGATTATCCAATAAGCAGTAAGTCAATTTACCCTACAGCAGGGTACGTTTTGTATGTAGTTATAGACGACAAGAAGCTGCAATATGAAGATTTTTACAGCATTGACTAGATACTCTCACTCTACGCATCGCAGAAGCTACCAGTAAAGTCACTGTAGATGAGTGCAAGGAGCAATCCAGACATGCTGAAACGTTCCGGGATAGATCTCTCGATAAAGAAGTTGGTTCGAAAGGTCTATATTGCAGAAGATGTCTAAAAATCAAAAATGACTTTGAAAATAAAACTAAGTAAAAACACTGTACTTATGAATAGCAGTCACGGCTCAACAAATTTTTATAGGTGAAATAAGTATCCTTCGCTATTCTCTTCATTTATATTGCTTTCAAAATGGCTAAAAGAAAGGTAAATGGTTAAAGATAAAACAGAGAAAAGACTAAAAGTACTTTAGAGAAAGAACAGAACTCATGTTGCTCCTACAGAGGAAGAAATGAACAAGATCCCTAAAAGTTTTGTCATGCGATCGGGCATCGTAGGTACTTCGGTTACAGCCCTGGTAAGGGATGTCCGTCGTGTTCTGGAACCCAACACAGCTAGTCATTTAAGAGTAAATATATCAAAGTCTAGCAATGATCGACTTACATTCTTTAGGAACGCCGATCCAATCGTCTCAAAGATTTTGTTATGGTTGCAGGTCAATTGGGTGTTACCCACTTCCTTATCTTTAGCCGTACAGAAAAGAATGTCAATTTGCGTATCTCTCGTGTGCCCCGAGGACCTACACTTACTTTCCGTGTTGCTGAATATGCTTTAGCCAAAGACTGCTTAGCACTTCAAAAGAACCCAAAGACATCCGATGTTGAATATCACAAAAGCCCTTTACTCGTCTTAAACAACTTTCAGCAGCCTGGCAAAGAATTCAAAGTGATGACAGTCATGCTACAGAACATGTTTCCTTCAGTGGATGTTCAAACAATGCAACTATCAGAAGCAAAGCGTGTTCTTTTGTTCAACTATAATGAAGACACAGGCATGATTGATATGCGTCATTATAGTATTGGTGTAAAAGCAACAGGCGTATCCAAATCGATCA